TGGCCTCTGCTTTTGATGATGGGATTAGGATGCTGAAGAGATCGCAGACTAGTGCGGAAAAGATCCCCTAGATTAATAATACGTAGATTGAAATCCAACTAAAATTGGTTTTCATCATTCATTGTATCACTGTTATTTTCAGATTGGAGCTATTACAGTGTAATCGATAGCTTCTCTTTTTCATTATTCTTTGAAAGAAGTGCTCAATTGAGTAGGAGAATGGGACCGTTAGGTCGCTCACGTAACATATTATCAGAAGGGGCCAAATGGGATTAATCCATGTTGTAGAATGATATTTTTTTTCATTATATATTTGGTGCGTCGGTAGTCCTGTGGGAGAATGTTCGTCAGACACGGGGGTTCTCCCAAGTTCTGTTCCCAGCCGACGTACTCCTTAACCTCCTAGCCTTGCTTCCTAACCGATAGTAATCCTGGGAAGAATGAGGGAAGATTGGTGTGAGGCTAGTGACGCCATGACGTAAAAATAATACTATCTCTGATGAGATTTCGAGACTTGAAGCCCCATGTCCCACTCGGAATGCAGGCCAATAAAAAGGAAACCATATAGGTAACATCTCTCTTTTCAATGATGGTCTCACTGAAAACGCAAAGGAATAACAGAATAAAAGCAGAAATGTGCAGGAATAAAACTAGTAACATGGGAAAAGATGAGGGTTTTTGGTGGATATGCGGGATCACAGGAAGTTAATGTTTCTACGCCATTGACACCGATTTTGAGCCATATCACCAATAGCCTCCAACCATTGGCTCTGAGCATCTTGGGGCCGTCAAACCAACTGTCAAAGATTCTATTGATCGGTGCTAACTTTTGGGTTGGCCGATTTCCCCGGTAACTTTATCTATTGTGATCCTATGTCGACTAGCATTGCTCGACGAGAAAACTGGTGGCTTTCTTACCTAGCACTGTACACCTAAGCGTATTATTAATTATCATATTATACCACCTAACACCGCAGGTAGAATGTAATCACTTGTGGTCAAAGACAGCCAACGTTTTTCGTATCTTCCTCACAGCCATAAAATGAGCTTTTGTGTATTACATAAGTCCTCTGATGGGCAGTTTTATATCACACCTACTCAAGAGATGACATAAGTTGGCAGATGCCGCTTGAACCTTTCGTATCTGTTTATCCGGTAGTTGTTAACACTGCTTCACTATTATATCAAATACACGTATCTAATACAGGTTTTGAAATGTCTGTTTATAAAAGATGAGTTCCTGGAGGCGTTAATCACCATACTGCATCGTTAATATTGCCAAATCGTAGTCCTATTAAACTGGTACCATTGAGAATTCACGAAATAAATTCATCTAATTTGTTTTTCTTCCCCCCTATTTTTTTGTTCTCTTGATCATCTGTCATATGGAATTAGAATGCTGAAAGTGAAAAAGTGAAAGGTTTTCAAGAAGCGAAAAGTTTAAAGAAAAAGCCTAGTGGAAAAAGTGATTGTGAAACAAAGAAGCAAACATCTTCAGGAATTCCTCAAGCTCTAGTAGGTTATATCATGCTTTATTTAACTAAATATTTTGCTGTTGTTTCGTTGTACTACTATTTTCTGTATTGAGTAGTTTGTAATTAATACGTTGTTATTTTAATGGCCCACCGACTTTTACTAGAAGGAGATAAACAGCATTATATTCATTGATCTTCGCTTTGATGGAGAGGCTGCATTAACGGAAAAGGTTAAGTGAAGTGGAAAATGCTTAAGGTTTGAATAAATCTGTTCGATTCTTGCTTATTTCCACTTAGATTTCATTGTCTGTCGTCTATTCATTATTCAGGGTGTATTTGTTCAGCAAATATTTTAATTTGAATAAGGCATTAAGAAGACAAATTTCACGAGATGATATCGTCATTTCGTAGTTTCTTTACAACCGCTTTACAACTAACATGGTTCACAATAATAGAATAAAAGGCCTGACAATTACTCAGCTAAATAAAACAAAAGTACATACTAATGTCCAATCATATTTAAATAGGTCAAGTAGGTCAGGTCCATGGTAGGCGAGGACTGAAGTCTATTGGTTTTTGTCCACACAGTTTAGGCTGTATGTGATTAATCCAAAGTGCTTCCATCACCTTCAATAACCAACCTTGAATTAGAGTTATATGAAATAACTGTGAAACAGTCATTAATATTGATTTTGTGACCTGACATTAATAAGTGTTTTGCAATGAATAATGACGGATTTCTATTCAGATTCATCGCATTGGGATTTTCTATATGATTTAGTAGCCATTTTGAAACATATTCTTTTCGACGACATCGGAACATTCTGTTGGTTCTACCTATGTAGGTGCCACCGCAGCTGCAGGTGAACTTGTAGATACAGTTTGAGGTAGAGTGCACAGAATTTCGTCCTTTAATCGTAGGTACAGGGATTGAAAATGTTCGGCGAATGGGAAAAAAAGATGTGGCGTAGAATGTGTGCGCTTGATGGCTGACCGAAGTCTTTGAGCTGCCAACTGCATAATCTAGTCGCCCTCGAACGGTAGGTTAATAAAGATAGCTTTCTTTGGTAGAGAAGCTGTCTCATGAGTTATTGTATCTTGTATATTTCCTTGGACGTTGATGTGAATTTATGTATTATATCATTACTCTTTTGTATCCCGAGTGAAAACATCGGGTCTTAGCAGCACATCCAGATTTCATCCTCTTCTCTTCAATCTTTTTAAAGTGGCTCCACGATTATCCATTGGCTGTTATCACCTCCTCACATGATCTCGTCCATGTCACCCTTGGCCAACGTCCAACTTGTCGTTTTCCATTCGGATTTCACCCCAGGGCCTGTCTGCCGAGTGGTGTCACTCAACGGTCTATTCAGCGTGTGTTTGATACATCTCAGATTCCTTCGGAATATTTGTTTGGCAATAGGTCAGTTCTTCTATACGGATCAGAAACTTGGCGGCGAGTCACAAAGAATATTTCCAACAGCCTGTTGCAGACCTTTATCAACAACTAACTGTCTTCACTGGCTCTATACTGAAGATGGCCGGAAAGAACAAGAACCAACAAGAAACAAACTATGGGAACAAACAAAGCAAGAACCAATCGCTCAACAAATATGCAGGAGAGAGTGGAGATGGATTGGACACTCACTGGCTGAGGAGGCCACTCGCTGGGTGAAATCGCGCGTCAGGCCAACGCTCGAGTGGATCCCGAAAGGGAAGTGGTGAGTGTGACGTCAGTGCAAGGGTGACATTGAGGAGATCGTGTGAAGAGGAGTTGAAACAGTATGGAATAGCAGGGATGCAGGTGAAAAAGTACAGCAGAAGACAGAAGCAAGTGGAGGCGTGCAGTTGAAGCCCTATGTTCCAATAGGAACCCAAGGGAATAATAATATAATAATAATAATAGGTGCTTGGTTAGTACGACGACAGAGTTACTTGTTGTTTATCCTCTCCTCCTGGTCATTGAATTTTTAGTATGGGGTCAGCAATGACACCTGTTGGTAAAAGTTTACAGTAGCCTGTTGGAAATACTCCTATCGTAACGTTGACGTGAAGGATCCACCTAAATGTTTATTAGTAAGCTCATCACTAAATAAATATTGTCAGTTAGGGGGAATTTCATTTTCCGGAAATTGATGTATTAGTTACTTTGGAAGATAAATCTCGATTTCCTTTGTAAAGCTAGGAGAAAGCTGGATGATTACATATCCATCAACGTCTGTTTTATTTTATTTTATTATTTTGATTACAGCTTGATGCCACACCGTATTTTCAGTACAAGTATGGAATTTTCAGCATGCGATATCGGTAGCCCAAATTTTGCAGGCCGATCATAGATATCAGGTGTGCGTCGGTAGGGGATCGAACCCTGGACCATGTGCATGGTCAACGAGAGTCCTAACCACTGTGCCACCGACGTCTGTTGTGTTTTTTAAAAAACTCGATCATTGTTGACGTCGAATCTATATGAATCTTAAATGACAATATAGACAGCTATGGGTGTAGAGGTTTTATTGATTTGTTTAGGTAGCCGACGTTTGAAAATGTTTTCGTCAGGAAGGAAAAAGAATGAATATCGAGTTTGATTACCACAGAATCCATCCAATAATGAGCGAGTGGTTTAAATTTCTTTGAGTCTTGAGAGACTACCTCACTGTCTTCTAACTCAGCAATTTTACTTCCACTTCTTTCATGACAGTGAAGAGTGTTCATCACTTTGACGTGACTGGTTTAGTTCTCTGTTTTTTCTCCTCTTCAACGTTCTATGTAATCCTCATTATTATTGTTATTCCCTTGGGTTCCTAGTGGAACATAGGGCTTCAACTACACGTCTCCACTTGCTTCTGTCTTCTGCTGTAGTTTTCACCTGCATCCATGTTAATCCATACTGTTTCAATTCCTATTCACACGATCTCTTCCATGTCACCCTTGCACTGACGTCCCACTCGCCGCTTCCCTTTCGGGTTACATTCGAGCGTTGGCCTGACGCGCGATGTCACCCAGCGAGTGGCCTCCTCAGTGAGCGAGTGTTCAATCCATCTCCACTTTCTCCTGCATATTTGTTGAGCGATTGGTTCTTGTTTTGCTTGTCCCAATAGTTTCTTGTTGGTGATTCTTTCCGACCGTCTGATCTTCAGCACAGAGTGAAGACAGTTGTTGATAAAGGTCTGCAACAGGCTGTTGGATATATTCTTTGTGATTCACCAAGTTTCTGATCCGTATAGAAGAACTGACTTCTAATCCTCATAATTTACTTTATTAGACTTCATTGAATTATTTTTTTTTATTATCTAGATATCTCGTTCTATTAAAGATTCGCGTCTTATTCCACAATTGATTTATGCTATTGAACAGTATGAACGATTTTTAATGCAACTGTCTAAAAAATCGAAGGTATGTATTTCTACAATTTTATTGATTACAATGTTATGAGTTCAGTTCATGTTGACATAGAGTTGTTGTCTTAATAACACTATAATTGACTACAATCTACGGAAAATTTCGTAGCTACCATGGGATCATTGAATTCTCGGTAGCTTTTCTTTTTCTGAGTATTGTCGGCTGATACCCCTCCCCCTAACCATCTCCTTGTTTACTAGTTGGTAATACAACCGGAAAAGAGGGAAGGTTAAGTGTTAGGCTAGCAGCCTCACCTCATAGAATAACAACACCAACGCTACTGGAACTTCAAAAGCTTAAAGCTCGGGGACGTAGGCAATGAAAAGAAAGACTATCGTTAAACTATTCTTTATTGCAGTATTTTTAGTTTTTAAAAGATGACAAACGCTAAGATTTACAATCTGTAGTTTTAGTGGAGCACTGGACAACTGTTTCTTTCTAGTCTGGGACTCTTCATCAGTACTTACCCACAGGGGTTCAAAACCATGGCTTTCTGGTTTGCAAGTCGTTCTCGCGTAGGTCATTCAACCACTGGCATTTCATGCCACATGGCCCATGAATTACAACTTCTACCAGCTGCTATCACTAGGCAGTGTCATCGGTGAGTAGTTTTCCTCACACCCGACTGCTGGACGACCCCACTGGGCACAACATCTCATTAGAACTCCAGGCAACATCGTTCTGTAGCCAGTCAATAGCAAGCATTAGATTCATGCTTCACAAGAGTGTTAGTTTGTTCGATCACTGATTGATGCCAGTAAAGAGAACTAGGGGAGTGGTTGACAGATGTTTCGTTGAAGTGTGGGACTCTTCAGGAATATTCACTCACGCACTGCGATCAAACTCAAAACAAATCAAATGCCTACGAACTAACACATGAAAATCTGTAGTTTCCTTAATATGACTATGAACAGTAAATCTTACCTCTGAAAGAAAAATCTAAATTGAGAAGGTGGAGTGAGGGAGGGTACATTACTGCCTCACTCTGGCATATCTAATGGATTATTGACGGCATTATCTTTTTAGATAGCTTTACTTCTGAAAACCGATTTACTGTGATGGATTGGTAAGATTCGTTGCTGAGACCCTTGTTCTTACTGATACATTATGTGATTCAAATTCTACTTTGTCTACTTTCATCTCAATCAGTTAGTGTCATAAGCTCCCAAACACTCTTAGTGTTTATATCCTGTAGAGTATCTAGTTGTTGAATTGTGGTCATTGCAGTTTCACCTTACTGTTAGACGTACAAATCATTCATTCATTCATCTATTTCATTTCCTACTAGAAGCTTCGAAGTTCCAGTAGCGGTGATTTTTTTGTACACGATGAGATTGCGACACCCTCGCCTTCCTTGTTTTCTGCGCTGGGTAAAGGCTGTTTGTTGGTCTGGTTTAGCAGTGCGTCGACCGGGAATCTAATGTCAGTCCACGCGGATGGTTGGATGGCGAGCATCCTGTCTCTAAACCACTGATACTATGCTGGGAGAATGATATCTGTGTCTAATTGAAGTTTTTTTAGTAGACGACTCAAGTATTTTTTTTGTTCTCTTAAACTGACTGCTATCTTTCGTACAACTTATGCCTTTTTTCACAAATTAAATTCATTTAGAGAACCTTGGAGTGCTGGACAGATGTGTTCAGTCCCGGTTTGGGACTCTTCATCAGTAATCACCTGCCAGGGTTCGAACCCAGGACCTCCTGGTTATAAGGTGAGCTCGCAGACCATTAAGTCACGGAATCAGCAGAAGTTTGAGTTTGTGGACCATTAGATCGGATCCCAGTGGGTGAACAGGGCTCACGGCTTCGTCTTGTAGCTGGAAGCTCCTGGTTTCGAACATTGGTGGGTGATTACTGTTGAATAGTATCAGACTAGGACGAAACAGCTGTCCATTACTACCTGGTTTTCCAGCTACTTTAGCCTGGTCAACTGGGTATTTGTCATCAGCCGTCAGTGTGGTTCAGAGTCTGGTACATGGAAGACACTTGTCCTGGTTAACTGACTCCTAACAAAACACTGTATCAAGTGATAGACTTAAATAACTTAAATAACATTCCACATCCAGCCCAAGTAATCTGCGATTATATGTGAAGTGGGCAATTGAATGAATACACCTATAGGCAAAACACTATCAACTAACTCATATTCTGCACTTTCTGTAACCAATTTTCACTATCGCGTAAAGAACTGAAATGATTATCCTAATTTAGTCTGCAGCTAGGGAGAGTGTTTTTTTTAAGATTCAATTCTCCGGAATAAGAGGCACATTGATCGTATGACCCAGTCTGAAGTAGGTGTGGATTGGCACTCGAACTTCTGACGCCTTCGCCTAAAAACTGAGTGCTTAAGATAGTGAACCAATAAGTTGAGTAATTAGAATAATAAATGATTCCTGGGCAACACCAGCAACAACAACAACAGACAATAATCAGCATAGATGGAAGGAACCTGAAAGAAACAACCTCTTTTATCTGCCAACCTGGGAAGCATCGTTTCAACTACAGGAAGACGGAACTGGCGAGGATATCAAAGCAAGAATCGGAAAAGCAAGACAAGCTTTCACTACTCTCAAGTCTGTGTGGAAGTCAATAACACTCAGCATCAAAACGAAAATAAGATCCGGATTTTCAACTCCAATGTGAAGTCAGTCAGTGCTACTCACTATACGGATGGATCAGAGACTTGCACTGCGTGTCATAAACAGCATCTCAAACAAACTACAGACCTTCATTAACAGCCAGTTGTCTTCGCTCAATACCACTCAAGATCAGATGGCCGGCCGGCCAGGAAAGATCAGCAACAGAGAGAGGGATCTCTGGCAATGAGCGAACCAACCCAGGAGGAACAGATTGTGCAACAAATAAGCAGGAAGAAATGGAAACCATCAAGTGAGTGACATCACTAGACAAGCCATTGCTCGAGTGGAACCCGACTGTATTGGAAGCGGCGAGTCGGTCGTCAGTGTGAGGGTGGGTGACTTGGAGGAGGTGATGTGAGGAGGAGATGAAAACGTGTGGGCAGACATGGAGCCAGGTGAAGACTCTAGCAGAGACTCGGACACAATGGAGACGGGTGGCTGAAGCCCTATGTTCCTCTAGGAATTAAAGGAAACAATAATAATTTAATAATAATCCTTTAATATAGGAAACAATGTGATTTACGTTTGTTACCATTCAGAGTTATTGCACAGTATATTAAACGATGATAATTATTTATGAATTATGTAGTCTAAATTAAGCCCTGAAAATGAATTTATATTACCTTTGCCTTATAACATTTAATTATTTCACTTACTTTCCTTAAATAATTTTTTTTGTACTTATGGGAATTCTTCTTGTGTGTGTGTGTTTTTTTTAACTCCTCAGGTTAATCTTATGCGTAATGTAAAATTGAGTACATCTCGAGATTTTCGTATTAATCAAGCTACTCTAGTTGCTACTTTAGAACAATCTGCTGCTGCTCCTTTGAGTGTTAGCAGTCTTAGTGATATAGATGGTGATGATGATGATGAGAATAATGTAGACAATCAACCTGTGAATAGTGTTCATCCAGTTGAAGATGGGACGGAGAGTGAGGATGCTAATCCCGAGGTTGATGAACATCCACATGGAGATGTTGATGATGATGATGAAGAAGAGGAAGAAGAAGGAGAGGAGGAGGAGGACGTGGAAGAGGAGGAGGCCGTTGATGGTGAAGAAGAAGAAGAAGATGAGAGTGGAGAGGATGAAAGTTCTGAGGCTGATAGTGACGTCCACAATGAAGACGGTGATGATAGTGGTAATGATGATGATGGTGGCATTGTCGAGGATGACATTGATCCAGCCGCTTTATTATTAAGTGCACAAAATGATGAAGATATCGAAAATATGTCGTCTTCAACACCATCAAATTCTGCATCGAAATCACGGACTGAAACGCCTTTATTGCTTAGAGTAAGTGAATCGACTATCTATTCTTGTTGTTGTTCTTAAATTTTTTGCTTATTTATCTTCTTTATTCTTCGCTAAAATTTATGTTGTATATGTGTGTGTGCGTGTTTCCGATGGTTCAACAGTAGAATGCTCGCCAACCATGCACGTGGTCCCGAGTTCGATTGTTGGCCGGTGAGCGTCTTTACCTCTCTCTTAGATGGTTGTGAGCTCGTTGCAGCGTGATGGTTAGGCGTAATATTAGTAACCTCACCATGTAAAAGAGACACTGCTGCCGCTGCTACTGAAACTTCAAAGTTGAAACCTAAAGCCGCTCTGTGTTCCACTGGGAACTCGTAGGAATGACGCTATATTGGATATAAGTTCAGTAACTCTGGAAGACGAAACCAGCGGTGTATTTTCCAGTGCATTTACTACTAATTTGATGATTCTGTTAATTAAGTTTTCAAATTTAATATCATGTCTGCATTAATTAAAATCACAGTTTGTGGTAATTTCCATCTTATAAAAGAAGTGCAGAAGAGTGTACTAGGGAAGATAGCAAAACGCTTTTATGACTAATTAGAAACTAAAACAGAACTGGCTGTGAAGGTAAGCAAGAATTCGCACGACTGGTGTGTCAAATAATTAGACCACTATCCGGGGAAAGATCAACGCAGATGACGCCAGTGAGAATCAGTGAATGAGACCACAGAGGCAAAGCTCTAAGCTGATCACGTTTATTGAAATGACCACCACCTATAACTCGTGGGGAAATACACATCACTAGCAGACACAGAATCATCATTCACAGGATATCTGTCACAAAGTAAATGTCTTGAAAGTGACAAACCTACTAAAAACGTGGAAATCCTCAGGTGAAGCAGCCCAGTGGTCAGCGAAAGCGTTCCTGACAGACCACAGACTCATCCGTAGCTGGATCTACTCGATACAGCAGGTCAGATATCCAACCAAAAAGCATCACCAATAAAAAACTCCGGCGGACAGCAAACCAGCAATAACTTATTACCCGACAAATGTAGAGTAGGAAATAGAGATGAATTAGACAGGCGTCAACGTGTGGTAGGCCTTTGAGAGGAACTTGAATCGGCATTTGTATAATAAATTTGTACATGTATCCTTGCTTGTATTTCATCAGTTATATTCGTTCATTGAGTCAGGTACAGTTTTCCAAATAAGCAAAGTGGTCAACACATCCAAACACTTAACCAACATCAATTCAAAGTGCACCGTAAACTTGACTGATGGAATTCGGTTAAGCATCAAGACTAGACTTATGATGTTATTTACTTTTCAGACATAGTTTAATGTATCTGTTACACTCCTACATGAAACCAGTTGTGATTCCAAATAGTGTAGTGTTAATGTCTCTTACTGCAGCAAAGAGTGTTCAAATCTCCATGGGTGGGTTAAGCATATCCTTCAGAGTTTTAGATTCTACTAGCTGATGAGCGCCAGTAAGCATAAAACCTAGGTCCAAAGTTTCATGTCAACTTTCTTTTACCACCTTTCCTATCTGTCTGTCTGTTTTCGACATAGAACTTTGCACATATGTGCGGCTGTTCAAGTCGCCACACTCCATGTAGCACACAAAGCAACAGAAGAAAGTAGGAGAAATGCATATTAGAGACAGAAAGTTGAGGTGTGAGACAAGGGAATAGCAAAAACGAAGAACAAAACAGTTTCATTGGAAATCATAAGTCACAAGGAGTGGATGCATCTGCACCAGCCATTGAGAACGATTTTGAGCCATGTCACCAATTGTTTCCTCCAAAGCCTCAGGATGGTCGGGGGTGGGTGCCTTGCGCTGCGGGTTGGCCACCCCTCTGCACACCTCTTGAAATGCTCCCATATGACCGGGCGTCTTACATAGCCTCTCCTGAGGAAGTCCTACTCACTGCCTTCACGTGGCGGAGGTGTTTTTCACCAAAGTGAGAGGGCGAAAGCGGATGCCCGGCGCTCTTCACCGGGTTGACTGTCCATTGGATGACAGTCTAGGAGAGATGGCTAAACCCTAATTCCAAACCTCCAACGACTGGCGTATGAAGCTGACTGGAGCTCACCGGAAGACGTATGGACAAAGGGCTTGTTGGATGTCCTGGATGTCTGGCCCCATTCAAAAAGGCGTATGAACCGAACTCCGGTCACTGGCTGCCAATGGATAGTGGACTCCCTACTCCACTCCTACTGCCTTGTAGGTCACACTTGGTTGTGTAAAGGTTAGAGCTGCACTCTCAAACAAAAGGCCGAGCGATTCTGGGGACATCACTCGTACCAAATTCCCATGAAACTTCGTAAACTCTCTTCATCAGATCGCTGCGCCTGGGCAGCGATGATTCGGGATGTTCATGAAGCCGGCTCATCCTCCCGTAGGAGATAGCCGAAGTAAAGAAAGAAGAAGATTGGTTTTTACTCTCTCGACGACCCCAAACAGTCGGGAAGTGTCCACCTTCCTACGTGGCCTACACTAACTGTTGTGGATTTCATTGACTGGTGCCATGTTTTCGTTTGACCGCCCCTAGCTCTTTTCCAACCTGACCCTATATCAGCTAACATTGCCTATTGTCGAGGAAGGCGGTGACTAGGCATACTTAGCACATGTCCTAACTATCTCAGTCGATGTAATTTCACAGTCTCGTCGACTGACTTTCCCTCCTTACCTAGCACTCGACGCCTAACCTCAATATTGCTCACCTTATTATACCACTTCACACGGGAGATAGAACGTAGGCACCTATGATCAAAGACAGCTAATCTTTTCATGTCTTTCACTCTCAATGGCCTGGTCTCACAGCTAGCCATAAAGGGAGGACATAGCGGACTGATGGGCAGTACCCCCGCCCTTTGGTCGACAGCCAACTGGATATCACGTCTACGCCAGAGATGGCGTAAACGGGCATATGCGAAACTAGCCCTCTGTATCCGTATCCGTGCTGAGATTTCGTCGGAGATCAACCCGTTGGCACTGGCTGATAGTACTTCCCAAGTAAGTGAAGCGGTCAACGTGCTCTGCCACTTCACTCCCTATTTCTAAACTAGGAGTCAGTGTAGTCCAGTCCTGTAACATCATCTTACATTTGGAGGCAGCGAATCGCATGCCAAACATTCTTAGATTGCAGCTCAAGGTGCTCAGAAGACTGCATTTTGTCTGCATATTCTAAGTCAACGAGATTATTCCCTGGTAGCAAGTCAATCCCTGAGTCTCTGAAGTGGGTTGGGGTTAAGTCCATTAGTACATCTATGATGAAGTTGAATAGAAATGGGGATAATAAGCTCCCTGACGAACGCCATTAGTGGTCACCACTTCAGATGACAACTCGCTATAAGCTCTCACCTGGCTGCAAGAGTTCGAGTAGAGCGCCTTAATCAGTGCAACGTATTTCCTCGGCATTCCCTTTACAACCAAGCATCGCCAGAGAACCTCTCGGGTAGTATCACTTGTTGCACTGGTTGGATTCTCCAACTGAACATATATGTGAAGTCTTTTGTTATTTAAAATTTGCTTAACGTTGATTAAGTGAATGAACAGTGATTGAAAATAAATTTATTGGGATCGCTTGGGTTTGAGGTCTGAACATTCTGAGCTCTATTTTTCTTCACCGTAGTAACAAATTCCCTAGACAGAGCAGAAAATCTCTATTATATGTTTCACTTTAGCTCAAATGTACGTGAACTAGTAGAATCAATTAGGTTTTTAGTGGTGGTGGTGATGGTGCTGAACAGTTTTCGAGTTGGGGATGTATATGATTTCTGTGAAGTGCTTTCTAAAACTCACAGTTCTATTTTCCTTTTTTAAATGTAACGCTAAGGCCACATTGGCCAACAAACTGCTCAGTCTATCAGTCTGTCTGTCTGGATTCAACATAGAACTTGGCACCGAAGTGCACCAGTTCGAGTTGCCACGTTTTAATAATAATAATCATTTTGCTTTATTCCAAATACCACACAAAGGTAGACAAGACAAGAAGCTGAGTGAAGAGAATCAATAGAGTTTTGACAAGTATAAGAGTGAAACAGAATGAGTAATGGTAGAAAGGAATATGAGACTGAAGATTACAGAGACTGAATACATCTGCGTAAGCCATTGACAACGATTTTGAGCCATGTCACCTATTGTCTCCAGCCATTGATTCTTAGAGTCCCGAGGGCCCCAACAAACCCGAAAGTCTGCATCTCCCTACCTGATTCAGTTTAACTGTCAGGGATTTCATGGATTGATTGATGCCATGTTTTTGTTTGGCCACCACTTACTCTTTTCCGACCTGCACCTATATCAGCTAATAATGCCTGTCGGGGTGGGGGAGGCGATGGTTAATGCGTCTAATACTCGATCCACCTACCGAGAAGGTGGGTTTAGGTAAGCATTTGGTATCATTAATGTCCAATCGGTGTGTGATGGTAGCAGCTCTATTACCAACTGCATTTAAATATATTTATATATATTACTAGTTCTGTTACGTAACTTTTGTTAGCAAAGTTTCAGAATTCAATGAAATAAATTATAATGTTTTATTTTCTATAATTATATTGATCTAATTACATTTTTAATAGAGAGTTAATCCAGTTTCACAACGAAATTCAGCGATGAAAAGAACATTGAAATCGATCACAAATGAAATCGATATATCTGCTAAGGCGAAAATTCGTAGACCCTGAATATGTGTAATTATGAACCAGATTTCCATTGTTATAATCGTTTTTGTTTTTAACAATCAATTGATCCGTTTTTACTATTATTGTATACATATTTAGTGAGTAACAATCACAATACGATTTTATAATAATAAAAGTGCTTTTCATACATTTATTCCCCTTAGTAAATTTGAACAAAGCAAGAACTATAGTTTTAGCAGATTAAAATGTTAGCATCTTTTATTTCGTTGCCTTCTCGTCGGCCGCTTACAGGGCAAAAACATTATTAAATGTATCTACAATAACAATTTTAACATACTTACACAGAGTTCATTTTAAACAAAAAAATCAATCGATCAATATACGCATACACTAATAATATATACATATATATATGCAATATTAAACACTATTCCGAGCAATAATAATCATACACAATGAAAACTTTTCAGCATCTCGCATTCGGAAGAAAAATATCCGGTTACCAGGGCAACAAAGGACTGATAACCGCTTCTTTCTGTACGTACAAATCAGTTTTCAGGCGCTTGATAGAAATGGCTTCAGCAAACTTAAGGAGAATTGAGCTCTTTTGCTTATTGATAATTTTGAATGACTTTTCGACGTCCACCTCATGACCCGTGTCGAGGAGATGCCTGGCGATGGCACTCACTGTTTAAAGCATTTGTTCCCTTTAGACGTAAGCTTTTTGGTACATGTTCAGAAAATCGTAGATATGCCCTTCTTCTTTCTGTTCTTCCAATGTAAACTGCTCCCGCAGATACATGTAAATTTGTATATACAGTTGGAGTTAACATGAGAACGATATCTATCGATTTTTGATTGCATCAAAGAGCAAGTTGTTCGAAAGACGGGAACGAGCTTAGCTGCAGGATAGGCTATAGCTAGTGATGTGCTCAGCCTTCTGTTGATCATCGCTGCAATGTTTTCACCTTAATAATCAAGCTGAATGCAGATTGGCTTTTTTCTTACTGTGATTTGTTTTTCATTTGTGACTTCAGATCTTCCATACTTGTTGATGATGTGTTGATGTTTTTTAAAAATTTCTACGAGTAAACTCTAAGTGGGACTATGTGCTACTGACTAACTGGAATGAGTATACGCATACCAGTCACATCAACTAGTAGTGATTTCATGCCAGCTATATCTAACTTTTAAAAAACATTGGACGCCGTTCTACTTGTTTGTGGCTGTGCTCATCAGCTACATACCCAATGTAACTCACTTCAGAGAGGCAAATTAGTTCATATATTATTATTATATTATTGTTCCCTTGGGTTCCTAGTGGAACATAGGGCTTCAACTACACGTCTCCACTTGCTTCTGTCTTCTGCCGTGCTTTTCACCTGCATCCATCTTAGTCCATACTGTTTCAAATCCTCTTCACATGATCTCCTCCATGGCACCCTTGGACGTCCCAGTCGTCGCTTCCCTTTCAGGTTCCACTTGGGCGATGGCCTGACGCGCGATGTCACCCAGTGGCCTCCTCAGCCAGTGAGTGTCCAGTCCATCTTACTTTCTCCTGCATATTTGTTGGGCGATTCGTTCTTGTTTTGTTTGTTCCCATAGTTTGTTTCTTGTTGGTGATTCTTTCAGGCCATCTGATCTTCAGTATATAGCCAGCGAAGACAGTTGTTGATAAAGGTCTGTAACAGGCTGTTGGAAATACTCATTCTTTGTGACCCGCCTCCAAGTTTCTGATCCATGCGTATAGAAGAACTGACTGACTTGACGTTTGTATTGAAAATCCGAATTTTGTTGTTGATGCTGGCTGGGTTGAGTGACGAATATTTCCAGATTGGTTTCAGGTTGATGAATGTGTTTCTCGCCTTCTTGATTAGTTTAGACAAACCGATTTCCCCCTAACTAACTGGGGGAATTAGTAACTACGTAAATATCTTTGAACTGTGTAAATTACAAGTTGAGAATTTGATTGGAGTTTGTTCTCTTTTGCTGAAAAACGTTTTACTACTGAAATAATCAGTAGTAGTAAACATCAATCGGTCAAATATTTTGCCTGGAGATTATATTTTCAACACAGCATTATGTGTGTGTGGTCTTAATTGATTGCGTAACTGCCAGTTCTGAGGGTGTAGGTACTAGTGTAGCGTTTTCACATAACGAGAAGTTTCATAAGTATTCATTACCAGACAACTCAATATCAGACATTTAGACAACAAAGTAATGTTATAGGAAGGATTTTCTTTTCGATATCTTCCTCATCCGACTCTTCAGTCATTTACATATATACTGCAGCGCGTTGGTGGCATAGTGGTAAGGATGCTCGCCGACCATGCACATGGTCCGGGGTTCGATCCCCGGCCGACTCACTCCTTTACCTCGCTAACCCAGAAATAACGCTGGTGAAGAGGAAAGGTTGGGCATGAGGCTAGCAACCCCATCCTGTAAAATAAACACTGCTACAGAAACTTCAAGCCACTAGCTTGAAGCCCTATGTTCCACTGGGGAACGTGAAGGAAATAAAAAAAAAAAAACTTAAAGAGTAATTATTATTGATAATACTGATATTTTTTTTAATAATATCGATAGAATGAAGATCCAAAAGCACGTTTAAGTGTGATTATGAACATAGAGAAATGTAATACTAAGTTGAATATCAGGTAAAATTAATAAGAAAGTTTTTGAGTGTTACTTAAAAGAAAAGAAGGCGTTCAGCGAAGAAACTCTTTTCAGCGAAATGAACACTTAAGAAAGTCCTTCTTGAAAATGGCTATCCAGAAAGATTTATCACAAAATCAATGAAACCCAGACCAGAGAAGCCGCCCACACCCAGTGCTCCAAAAAGATTTCTCTATATGAACCTACAGTTCAGTGGAGGCCAATCTACAGAAATACTGAGAAATCGGCTCTCCCGCTCATTGAAGAAAACCTTCTTTGCAGCTGAATTACGACAGACGTTCTCCACGAGACCGATGATTTGCATGAACGTGGAGGATTAGCTACCGCTGTTGGCCTCATCTATGTGCATCTACCAATTCACCTGCTCGTGTGAAGCCAGGTATATCGGCCGTACTCAGCGTTCGCTATCCAAACGCGTCAACGAACATTTACTTTCATGGTTTTATAAAGGAGAAAACCGATGCCCCCGCAGCTCGATCCTTGAACATTTGAGCGACTCTGGACACCAAGTCAAATCAGAAATAAACTTCAAAGTTATCTACAGAATACAAGGCAATCTTGCTAAAAGTGTACGGATCAAACTTCTCCACATCGCAGAAGCAAAGGTAATTCATCTGCTAAATCCTGAACTCTGCATACAAAAGAAATTCGTTCATTCATTAAATCTACAATGGACGTAATCTTTCTTAATTTCAGTCTTACTAATTGTATCATTTTGTCTTTTGCATTTTATTATTTCACATCTTCATTTATATTATTCTCTACGCCACCCTTTTGTAATCTCTAGCCTCATTAACAATGTTGCTAACTCGACCCACGTCCAATTTCTAGTCAACTATATTACGTCATCCGATTAACTTATTTTCAACTGTATTATTCTCTACCCCCACCCTTATTTAATTTTAACCACCACTCATTATCACTGTTGCCAACCTGACCTACTCTGAATTCTACTCAATTGTTTTACGTCATCCAATTCACTTAATCAGTTCTATTTTATTTTCTATCTTAACGTTTGTTCCCAAGCCACATGATACTTATATTACATAGTTATCTAAACTTTATAAATCTAATGTACACGCACACAAACAAAATTGTATATATATACGTATATATATATATATATATATATATATGCGATTGTACAGCTCAGTGGATGAATTCGCCAAAAAGAGTCCCTTCGCTGAACGCCTTCTTTTCTTTTATATGACTGAATGAGGATTTTCAAGTTATTTGTTAGTTAAAACACTGATGGCCACGTTAAGATGAGCGACTGGAAGAACTACTTCTCAACATATTTGTTAGGCTTCGTAAGGTAAATTCTGACGGCTTTAGCTATATATCAATTGCTGATTCGTAAGGCAAAAGTAATATTTTGGTTGCAATACGGTAGATAACTTTGAAATCCTTGTTTATATCGATTTTATATTGAGTATCTACAATATGAGCTAGAAAAAAAGCTGTGAATAGAGCTAATCTATCACTTTCTCAGCCACGCAGGATGCTTTTCGGAAATCCAGAGGGGAATATACCTAATTGTACGCCCAAAGTAACTATCTTCACATGAGCGGTCGAAATGGTAGATACTCATAGAGGAGGCAAGGTTAGACAGTTTATTCTTGACTCCCGAAGGTAGAATTGCAGTGATTGTGAAGGAGAAAGAGATCTGTGTCACTTCTTCTATTGCATTCTCTGAGTGTTGTGTTATTAATTCAATGATGTTTTCACCAAGGAATTGTAGTTTTAAGAATGAGATCTTCTTTGTAACTGTTGGTAAATTAACTCACCTTGGGTTTAAATTCATCTGCTTTTCAATGGACTTCTCTGGATAATCATTTCCATAGTTTGGTATGTAAGGGTTTGTTATGTTTTTACCAGTTGATCACGGCTTGATATCAGTTAGAGAACCATTGAAAACCAGGGAGTACTGGACAGCTGCAGTTTCATCCTAGTTTTGGGGATCATCGGCAGTACGCACCCACTGGGATTTGAACACAGGACCTCCCGGTTACAAGGCAAGCTCGTATACCATTCAGCCACTGGGACCCGATTCAAACCAAACTATAGAAAATTAATCTGATGCTCGCTAGTGACTCGCTACAGGATGGAGTTTCCTGAAGTTCTAGGGAGAAGTCGTGACCAGTGAGGTCCAATTAGATGTCACGTGTGTGAATGGATGTCCCACCAACGACAATGGTTGGGGTCGCGCTAAATCACGAATTGGAAGAAGTTAGAATTCATGAGCCATTGAATCGGGTCCCAGTGGCTGAATGGTATACGAGCTGGCCTTGTAACCGGAAGGTCCCGGGTTCGAATCCCAGTGGGTGCGTACTGCCGATGATTCCCAAACTAGGATGAAACAGCAGCTGTCCAGTACTCCCTGGTTTTCAATGGTTCTCTAACTGATATCAGTCCGTGATCAACTCGTAATTACTTCCATTCAGTAATTGTTTCGTAATATACATAACTGTAGAGCAGGATGAGGAAGTTATCGAAAAGGATA